CAAGAGAAACTACATTGGGATTCCATCTCACCACAGCCAGAATGGCAGTTATCATGAAAACAAATTAAAGCAACTGCTGGCGAGGGGGCAGTCAAAAGAAACGCTGTATACTGAGTAGGATCATGCATTAGATAAGCCACTATTGAAATCAGTATGGAAGTTCCTCAAAATAGACCTACTATGTGACCCAGCTATGCCACTTCTCAGAATCTTCCCCAAAGACTCCAGAACAACACATCACAGAGATAGTTGCATGTCAATACTGACTGTTCACAAAGCTACGTTGTGAACAAACCAAGGTGCCCAACAACAGAAGAAGGGATAAATGTGTACATAACACGCAGCGGGTTGCTTATCAATCATAAAGAAGAATGAAGTTACGCTGTTTACAGAAAAATGGATGCAACTGGAGATAGCAGTCAAAGGAAATCAAGTCAGTCTCAGAAAGACAACATCTTAGTTCCTTTTCATTTGCTGTGATAAAGACCATAACCAAAAGCAACTTGAGAAGGAAAGGTTTATTTCAGCTTACAGTTTACTCTCTATCAGGTGGGGAAGCCTAGGCAAATTCAAAGCAGGAACCTGAAGGCAGGAATTGATATAGAGTCCATGGAGGGAGTATTGCTCACTTGCTGGCTCTTGTAGATTGCTCAGTTTTCTTTCTTGTACAACCCAGGACCACATACTGAGGGGTGGCACCAGCATGGCCTGGACTTGCTCTCCAGAAGAACTCTGTGGTTTCCACTACAACCCAGGTATGAAAACCCATATATGAAATGTCTTTCAAGTCCTCTCCTGCTTCAGATGAAAGTCCTGATGGCACCTAGGAGATGCTGCCAGTATTTGAGATATCTAGCCACTGAGGAAAGTATGTATTTCCTTAGAGAGCACTGGTTATTCCTGGTTTACCAGTATGAATAACTGCCAATGCTCACTGAATGTGCATCCTCTATCCTGCACTGAAGCTCACAGGCTGATGTAAGGAATAGTTCTCTCTACAGATGGGGATGTGACAGTTAAAAAATCCAATGGCTTGTTCAAGACTAGGAACATCTAAAACAATGTCAAAGGGAGCCTTAGGATCAGATCATTAGGATTCCAAATCCCTGACTCCATCTTTGCCTTGGGCTCTCTCATTAAATTTCTGTCTTAATAGCAGCTGCTGGATAAGCCAAACCTAGTTCCAATCCCATCCACTAACACTTGTCTTACTGGGTTTATTTAATTGAAGATAAATTCTGACTCCAAGTTTACTTGATGCCATAGAATTCTCTTTGCATCTTGGAATTGTATTTAACTTTCAGTTGGCCTCACATCTCCAGACTCCATATCATCAATCTTCCAAAACAGTAAATGATGTTTTGTTTCCACCAAGATGGTAGATCAGATATCCTGAAGGACCTCTCCACTTGAATGAACTAAAACCCTGTAACCAACATATGAGTAAAAATCTCAAGTCACCACAGATGTAGCTCAAAAGAAAGACATGAAAGCTAAAAGAATGACAGAAGGGATCCCAGGTGACCAGCAAATACCAAAGCCAACCTATATCCTGAAGGTTTCTGCTGAAATACAGAGCCCTTAGACTTCCATCTTGATGGTTCCATGGGAGGAAGTAGAACAGACAGACAACATAGTCTAAGATGTGATCCTTAAAAGAAACTCCTGTACAAAGGGAAGGCTCTGGGAGGCTAGATCCTCAATTGAGGACAAATGAAAAGGAAGTAAGCTTTATACACAGTGCAGAAGAGGCAAACCTTCTGCACCATAGAAAAGCCTTCCTGTTCAGACCTTCCCACTGGCAGGAGGGAAAAAAATTGTCCTTGAAAAATTCTTTACAAATTCTTCCCACAGACTTCCCCTGGCCTGTCATGGGCAGGGAGGGTGATTCTGTAAAGTCAGGTGACATAAACAAAGGGTCCCCATCTTTGCAGAAGTATACACAATGTCAACCCAGGGCTCAAAGGAGGGGAACAAGCTGTTCATAGGCAAAGGGTGAGGCAAGAAGTCTTGTTCCTGCCCCAGCTTCATCCACACTGGGTAGCTTTCAGGCTCTACATTCAACCCCTACAGGGAATCTGAGAACTTAGGCATGGCTCAAACAAGTGGCTGTTTTTTTTATTTCTTCTTCCTTCCCCTTTCTGATGCCTCCATCCTCTTGCTGTCCATCTAATAACACCCACCTCTTTCCCTCCTCACATTTTATTTGGTTTCTCGTTACAATCCCTTTTCTCCAACCATAATCTTTCTGGGATCTGAGTTCTGGTCCTAGCTCTGCCGTCTGTTATCTCAGGAAGAGCTATTCACCCATTCTGATCCACAGTCTTCTCATCTGTGAAGTTTGCTAACAAATAAAACTAAGCTCTCAGAATTATTTAGAGAATTGATGGGATAGCACACATAAAAAATAATCATTGGAATAAACACATAGAAAGTGTTCAACAGGGTTAGCTAATGAATGTGTTTCCAGTTTCCTCTCTATCAATTCTGGGCTCCACATAGCCCTTGTGTCTGCCATTTAATTTTGTACAGCTTAGAAGCTAAGAATGGTTTTCACACTTTTCAATGGTTACATTTTAGGCTATATTTGATTGTATTTTAAATAAAACAAGTATATGCACAGTATCCTAAATTTTGTCACTTGGCCTGGCAAAGTCCACAATTAGGTAGTTAGGCACACACACACACGTGTGTGTGTGTGTGTGTGTGTGTGTGTGTGTGTGTGTGTGTATGTGTGTGTGAAGGAAGATAGTTTGGTGGTTTACAAGCTTGAGGACCTGCCTTGGTATCTCCATTGCCCAGGTAAGAAGCCATGTGTGCTTGTGTGCTTATAATATCAGCAATGAGGACGCAGAGACAAGAGGATTTCTGGGACTCACTGGACAACCAATACAGTCAATTGAAGAGATGCGTGTATAGTGAGAAACTGTGTCTCAAAAGTGTGTGTGTGTGTGTGTGTGTGTGTGTGTGTGTGTGTGTGTGTGTGTGTGTGTGTGTGTCCAGTTGCCATTCTAGATTACCATAGATTCCAAACAATATGGTGGAAATGGAAAAACTCCCTTGCAAAATTATACAACTATCTAGTTTAGAAGGAACAGATTCATAAATTTGCAAGCGCCTCCAAGAGAGTGGGTTTAGAGGGTGAATGAACCATTTTCAGCTTGCAGTTTCCCATAATTAAATGTCTTCTACTTCACAAACACCCATTTTACATAATAATGTTTAAAGGGTATAGTTCATTGTGGTTCCTAGACAGTATACAGCTGAAAAGAGAAAAATGGCATTGACATAGGGGGAGAGTCGGAAAGAAAAGAGCATAGTGGGAGTGAGAATGGAGGCCAGCCATCACCTGAGGCTGAGTGGCATGTGTCTTGTTCTAAAAATCTGCTAGCATGCTAAAATATAATTACCAGTATTGAGATCAAGCTGCTGCAGACAATGGGACATAAAAGCTTCTATGTGCCACAAGCTGGGATGGTGAATAACTGCCTGCAATTCCAATTTCCTCCACACTCTCAAGGTGAAAAGCTAATGCTTTAGGACTCTAGCCTCAGTCTCCATCTTTCTCTTCACAAAAAGTATTCTGTCTTTCTTTTCCAGAAAAAAAAAAAAGAGGATTTAGCTTGGGACACTGGGAAGACAGTTTGGTGGTTTACAAGCTTGCTGTGCTGCCCAGGTAAGAAGCCATGTATGTTCACACACTTATAATATCAGCAATGGGGATGCAGAGACAGGAGGATTTCTGGGTTCACTGGCCAACCAATACAGTCAATTGATGAGATCCAGGTACAGTGAGAAACTCTATCAAAAACTAAGGTCAGAAATGACTCTGGTACATAGCAATATTGGCCTTAACGCTATGTATGGGTGTACCCACTACATATACACACACACACACACACACACACACACACACACACACACACACACACACACACACACACAGCATGAAAAGACGTCATGGCCAAAAGTCTAGTTTGAGATAAAAAAAGGTTGTCAGTCATGGTGTGATCTATGGCTTCCAATCATTTTCTCACCTCCCCCTACATTTCCACATGCCCCAGCTGAGGGCTGGCAGCAGTCAGCCACTGGTAGAATGGGACTAATGTATCAATTTCACTGTTATTAAAATTCTTACTTCTGCAGAGTATAATGTCTCTTAGGCCCAACCTAATTCTTCCTTTGCCCTAGGCCAGAATCCATGTCCAGGACTGATCGCTGCCACAACAACAGCATTTTCTATCTTGTTTTGTTTTGTTTTATTTTTAATTTCCGTGCCCTTTTCCACAAGGCTTTGGCTTTTCACGTGAAGCCACACTTCATGAATATATATGAAAGTTCCTAATTATTTACATTTTGGTCACAGCTACTCAACATGAACATTTCTGAGGGATTGTTTTACTCATCATTGCCTCTTTGTGTCTAACAGGTTCCCAGGAAAATCCCAGAACTATACACAATGTCTGCTGTGTAAATGATGAAGTATGTATTCTGCATGATACAACTGAAGGTATCTTTGCCCCTTCACTTAACCCAGAACCAATCTGAAAATGAGTCACATATTAGAAGCTTGATGTAATGCCTTTGAATGACAGAAATCTGCCCACGATAGCTGTTTTACCCTCCTGATTGTTATCAATTATTCTTACATCCAAAATGCATTAGCTCACAAGCTGCAGTGATTCTGCCCATATATCATCTCTCATTGTTACTGCTTTCATAGCCACTGGGTAAATTCTTTTTTCAGTCACAAGGAACCTACAGTGGTACAGACTGCTTTCTGCTTCTCAGCACTTCTCAAGAAAACCACTGTGATACAGCCTAATCTTATCAAAGGCCTCAATCATTGTGCTTACTATAGGTAGTTCCATTTCAAGAAAAAATAAAATATTTTGTATTAACACATGCCATGCTAAAAAAAGTGTTTCGATTAAGACAGATCGCTCTGAATTCCAGACAGGACATTGAGACAGAACATCACAATGAATTTAGACACCTACTTTTGCAGTCATCTTGGCCAAAAGCTCTTGCAAATCCATTATTCCTTGAACCAGGCTCAGGAAATCACTGCATGTTGGGCAAGCTCAATAAAGAAAACAGAAGGTATGTGTTCATCTTGTGCTCAAACAAGAAAGAGAAATTTGAAACAAACGTTATTTAAAAACACAAGGAGTTCTGCTTTCTTGAGACTAAAATTTGAGGGAAATGGCAGAGCATTTCTGGTCCTGATACTGTTTCCCCCATTTTTATTAATGATTAAAAAACAGAAAGGAAGAGGCAATTAACTGAAAAGAACATGATGTTTTTAAAGTACTGAAAAGTGACTGATAAAAAGAGAAAATTTTCCAAGAAGTAACTCACACCCAGATCAAAAATTTAAAGAATAGTTTTGTGAGATACATATTATTACACTAAACATATATTTATATAATATATTAAATGTGTCTTTTTGTTATAATATATAGAACTCTTTGTCTAATCTTTTCTTATCCCCAAACTATAATTTTGTAAATAACACAAAATCTTTTTTCAAGCTTGAAAGACACAGTAATATCTACGACAGATAATCCTTTTACTGTTTCCATTCTCTCCAAAGCCAATCTTATATAATTTATGCATATCTTTCCAGATGTTTTTGTCTAACACTAGGAATAAGTCATATAATATTAAATTCAGAAATACCTAAGTGCCACTTACTGCGATTTAGGTTGGGACACTGTGTGATAAACCCATTCGGCATGAAGATGATCTTGCCATCTTGAATGATCCCCTGACAAAGAAGAGATAAGTATCAATGAAGACGACAGTTACCAGTGGCCCAGTGAAGCCCCATATCCATGCTGGACAGATGGTGTTTAGCAAAACTAGTTCACTAGCTCAGTCAGCTGGTCAGCACCATTCCACTGCTCCAAATCAACCCTGTCAAGATACATCTTAAAATGCACATTCATCTTAAGAAGGCCATAGTTAACTCCATCTGGTTTATACTAGCAAGAACAACACCAAGGATGCGTTAGGAAGTATCTGTATTCATAAACTATCAAATTAAAAAGCCATTGTAGAATACACTCTTTTATGTCCTAATCAACCTGTAATATTAAGTAATGATTATTTACTTAATGGGAACAAACACAATAAATATTTCTCATTTTAGCATATGCATGTGAACAGTCTATGTACATATGTATATGCTGTTTTAAGAATGTGGGCACAAGTATGAGCGTACATGTATCCACATGAATGTAGAGGTCAGGCGTCTTCTTCAATCTGTATGTATTGAGGCATGGTTCCTCACTTCATTTGAACCCAGAGCCCCATGGTTATTCTAGCTACTCAACTGGTTCTGGGCATCCTATCTCCAACTCTTAAGTGCTAGGATGACAAGTAGGTGTCCACACCCACCCAGCATTTAGTAGGTACTGGAGCTTCAAACTCCAGTCCTCAGTTTTTCACAGCAATTGATTTACCCATAGAGCCACACTCCCAATCCAAATAAACACTTCTATTGATTCATTTAGTTAGGGAAATAAAATTAGACATCAAAGGCAAACTAAGCAACAACTTTCACTCTTCAACTAATTGAACACCACTGAGTCTTTGCAGTAGTCTTAAAACTTGATCAGCATCTCCAAGAAGGAGCTGCTTTCACACTACAGTTCAGATGGGAAGAAAAGACCAAATTTGAGACAGTCATCGGGGACTGATCTCTCAAAGAAAACATTGGCTTGGCTTTGGGATTTTTCAAGTTAAATTTAAGATTCTGTTTTTAGAGGGACTTTTTTTTCCTTTAAATCTACTGGAAGAGATAGAAGAGAGCAGATGGTAGATGTGGATGCTGGCTCGGAATATTGAGCTTCATCTATAAATAAAATATAGGCTTAAGATAGTGTGCAAGTCTTTAGAGAGAGCAACATTTAACATTTATGTGCATTCCTTCTAAACAAGGCAATCAGCATGTGTTGCTCTCTTCTTATTACTTCAATATGAAATTTAATTGGGAATATTAATAGAAATAACAGGACCAGGGCAGATCAACAGCACAACTGGAAACTTCCCTTAACCTCATTGTCTTCGGGTAGGAAGCAGTGCTTTTGATCACGAGGGGAGATGGCTTCACCATGGGAGAGGAGCCTGTTACTGCTCCTCACTATTAATTCATAATCTCATACAGTGATTAATGCAACCTGAGTCAGCTTCTCTTGGATACAAACATGTTCCATCTTTCAGAGCCAAGCAGTTGCTTCAAGAGGCAGGGCAAATTTCAAACACATTGGAACTTAAAAAAGAAAGAAACATGTCAGGCAGTGGTGGTATACACCTTTAATCCCAGAACTCAAGGGGCTGCAGCAGGTGGATCTGTGTGAGTGGAAGCCCAGCCTGGTCAAAAGAATGAGTGCCAGGACAGTCAGAGGTACACAGAGAAACCCTGTCTTGAAAAACATAGAAAGATAGATGACAGATGGGGGGGAGGGAGGGAGGGAGGGAGGAAGGAAGGAAGGAAGGAAGGAAGGCAGCAGACACAGACAGACAGACAGACAAAATCCATGCTTAGAAGTCAGGGGAAGCCTGGTTCTAGATCTTAACTCTGGCTTACTGTGTGGACTGCACAAGAAGAGAGCAACCTTCTCTAAGTATCAGTCATCTGGAAGGGAGATGCTGCATCCAAAAGCTAACAATTCCTCTAACACAAGATTTGGGTTAATTTAACAGGCATATGAATCTACACTGTCACCTATGAGACCTCCTGTTTTTAATTGCTTTTCCATTAATGTATATAGTGTATATGCAGAAATATATGCTTATGCAGAAAAAACTATTGATTTCCATTAAAGAACAGAGCTCCACAGAAAATTAAATGTCATGATAGAAAACATCTGTCTATAAGAAACCTGAACAGGACTGTGTGGGAGAGAAAGAAAGTCTAAGAGGAGGATAGGACCACAGAGGATAATGGGAAGAAAAAAAACTATTGAACATTCTCTAAGGTGCAGAACCTTTGTGTATGAGAGAGAGATGTTATAACAGAAGAGGATTATATGTGTGGTGAAGAAGGAAAACTGTGGGAAAAGAGAGGGCATTAGGGGGACAATAGAGAAAGATAGGGTAAACATGAACAAATCAGGATACTTATGTAAAAATTCCATAAAGAGTCTGTTATTGTATAGATTTACTAAAATCTATAACATATTTTATATAATAGAAAGTACAATATAATTTAAAATACAGAGCAAAAATGTAATATTAAATTTATTTTTTAAAAAATAACTATGTAACCAAGTGGATTCCAGATAGATTTAGAATAACCAGCCACACTGGTTTGCCCAATATGTAGAGGTTTTCTATAATAAGGGATATCTTACTAGTAAAACTGACAAACTCCCAGGCAAACCAAGAGTACCAGTCAACCTTGGTGATACAGAGGTATGCAGAAGACACACATGCATCAGGAGAGGACCAGGCACATTCATTTATGTCAGAAGATTTGAATAAGCCACAGGAAGTGTTCTCAGAAATGTGTTTTATATAAATTATCTCTCCCCCACAAAATGGAAAATCACCTTGAAAAGATGAGACATGCATTGGCCTAATAAGAATCTAGGGCACAATAGCTTTCCCTGGCCTTCTTTGAAGTGACCTTACTCATTTTAGATTAAAAATTAAGTTACAAATTACTTCCTACTACCCTTCCTTGCTTCTGTTTTTCCTCTTTTGATCTCTGGAGTGTGTGTGTGTGTGTGTGTGTGTGTGTGTGTGTGTGTGATAGATCATTAGGTGAAGGTCAATGACGTTGACTTGAAAAAACTGAAATAAGGGCTGACAGCTTTCCAATGCTCATTAACACAAAAACCCAAAGCACTTGGCAATTTTTTCTGAGAAAAAGTCATAGGGGTCAGCCCACACGTGGGCATGAAAACTTGTTCTTGCCACATAAATCAAGATGTTAACTTGATGCAGAATGAAACAAATCGATGCTGGGTTGAAAGGAAGCTGAAGATAGGACAGCAATACCAACTGAAACTCACAAGAAGGTGGATGTAAATGTGTGTAACCCACAGAAGAGTGGGTATGATTGTGTGTGTGCTACACAGAAGTGTGGATGGGAATGTGCATGTGAACCACAGAAATGTGTGTATGTGTGTGTGTGTGTGTGTGTGTGTGTGTGTGTGTGTGTGTAACTGACAGAAATATGGGTATAAATGTGCATGTGCCCCACTAAAGTGTTGCTACAAATACTCATGTAACCCACAGAAGAGTGTGTGTAAGCATAAACATGCCCACAGAAGTGTCTGTCTAATGAGTGTGTGTAACTGACAGAAATCTGGGTATAAATGTGCATACTTGCACCTCCTCCCCAATATAAGGACCAGAAGTTTTTTCATTGATTCACCATGATGGTGAATAGGCATTGGTGGCTTAGGACTGGACTATCTTAGTTTGATTTTTTTAGTGCTGTGATAAACATTCTGATGGAGGAAAGGGTCTATTTGTATTAAATGTCCATCGTCAAGGGAAGCCAAAGCAAGAACCTAGAGGCAAGAACTGAAGCAGAGACCATGGAGGAAATCTTCTTACTGCCTTGTTTTCCTGTCTTGCTCAGTCTGTTTTCTCATATATTCCAGGCATGCCTAGGGGTAGTACAGCCCACAATGGACTGAGATCTCCTACATTAACTGGTAAGCAAATTTATAAAGTCTCACATACACGCCCAACAGCACAATCTGATGTAGGTAATTCCTCAATTGAGATTACATTTTCCTAGGTGACTCTAGTTTGTATCAAGTTGAGGAAAAGTAACCAGCACAACTGATTCCTTGTTAACTTTACATACAAACATACCACCATGAAACTATAATCTTTTCTTTCTTGTGTGCCCCCAAGATTTCATGTTACTATTACAATAAAAAACAAAGTCCAACTTCAAAAGTCCTGCAAGTCTTTAAATTTTTCATCAGTTTTAAACTTCAATGACTTTTAAAGACCAAAGACTCTTAGCTTTAAGTTCTGGTAAAATAAGTTGAATACTTTCTTCCAAAATTGAAGAAATGGAATATAAAAACAAGCATTCTTAACCAAAACCAAAATGCAACAGCAGCATAGATTCAAATCCTTTATCTCAATGTCTGGCATCTGAAACTCACTCACAATTTTCTGGCACTATAAGGGCCTTGGAAGCTCAAACTCTTCAGTTCTGTCATCCACCTTGTCTTGTAGGCTGACTCCACTTCACACCTATACTGTACGTGGTGACTGTCCCATGGTCTTGTCATCAATAATATGCTAGGATCTGTTGCAGAGCATTAATGTACTGTTAGATTCATTTACACTGTGAAATATTTGTCTAATGATACAAAGATATGTTTCATTATTTTATGTTACATTTGTTTAACTCTGTGAACCTGTGTTACTTTGCCTGTCTAAAGCACCTGATTTTAATAAAGAACTTACTGGCCAATAGCAAGGCAGAATAAAGGATAGGATAGTCTGGTAGAATAAACAGAAGGAGAAAAAGAGATCCAGGAGCATAAGGAAGAGGATTCCAGGGGTCAGCCACCCAGCTACACAACAAGCCACAGAATAAGAAGTAAAGAAAGGTATGTAGAATAGAAAAAGATAAAGTTTCAGAGACAAAAGTTAGATGGTATAATTTAAGAAAGGCTGGACAGATATAAGCCAAGCTAAGACCAGGCACTTATAAGAAAGAAAAAGTCTTATGTATGTAAAGTCTCCATATATGTACTTATTTGGGAGCTGGGTGGTGGTCCCCCTAAA